TGAATTCTGACTTTGTTTTCTCAGAATTCCGACTGTAATCTCTGAATTCTGACTTTGTTTTCTCAGAATTCCGACTTTAATCTCAGAAATCTGACTTTTATCTCAAAATTCTGACTTGTTTTCCTCAGAATTCTGACTTCTTTCTCAGAATTCTGATTTTAATCTCAGAATTCTGACAGCTAACAAACATGTTAGCATCAAGCCGTAGCTATGTCTGTTTTAGAGACTAGCTCTCTTGTTTTAATCACCTTCTGCTCCTCCATTAATCAAATAGCATCACCAGGGACCCCTCGGGCACGTAAAAAGTCACCTAATTCCATAATTTTCCATCAAAGTGTTACTGGCCCTCCCAAACAACTCACATCTTTGTCGGTAAAGCTGAGTGCTCACACATCTCTTTCTTCACGGTGCCACGTTAAGATCCAAAATTCTGAGATTAAAGTCGGAATTCTGGAATTAAATTCAGAATTCTGAGAAAAAAGATAGAATTCTAAGATTAAATTCAGAATTCTGAGAAAAAAGTCAGAATTCTGAGAAAAGTTACAATTTTGAGATTAAAGTCAAAATTGAGAGAAAAAGGTCAGAATTCTGAGATTAAAGCCAGAATAGTGAGAAAAAAAGTCAGAATTCTGCGATTGAAGTCAGAATTAGAATTCTGACGTTGATCTCAGAATTCTGAAATAAAATTTGAAAATCAGTTAACTTTTTTAATTTTTCCAGTGGCCCTAATCATCTTCTGTAAAAATGAAACAAGTAAAACATTTTATATTTAAGTTATTAGTATTAGTTTGATTTTATAAACGTTTCAAAAGATATTTTTTTAAGGGGAAAAAAATCCATGCAGTTTCAATCTTCATTTTGGTAAATGTAGATGTTCAAATAAACTTACACCATGTTGGTGCTAATTATGTTTGTATTAATTGTGAACATTCTGTTTTTTAAATGTGGCTTCAATAGTTGGAGCACAGCATGAATAAATTTTGTTTTTGCTTTGAAATCAGTTTTGTTGGCTTAGGATTTAGATAGGGACAAACAATCGAATGCAGTTTTTTATCTAATAGTTTGTTTTGTGGAGGGATAACATAACAGAATGGTAAAGCCAATTCCTGCACAGTGCTGTGAAAAGGCTATTTTATTTTAATTGCTTAAATGAATAAATGTATTTTTATAAAAACATGTAAGACCAATGGTTTGATGCAGCTTCCTGTTAGTATTTAACAATACTTTATATTTTGTTGCTGCTGGATGTTTTACCATGACCCATTGCCAAATTTCAGATACTCAGATCAGATTATAAAGGCTCATCTCTGGGTTGGAAAAACAAACATGTATACATGTCAGGCAAGTATGGCAGATCTAAACCTTTTATTCTCTGATGCTTAACCCTTTAAAGACAACCCTTTTTATACAACCACCCTTTATAGGACACTCATGGAGCTACTTTAAAAAATAAAAAAAATCAAGCAATAAGTGCTTATGGAAGACAGAACAAGATCTTATTACTTTTGTAACATTAAAAAAATATGTATATTTTAAATGGAGAAATTAATGTCAATGTAATAAGAAAAAAGGAGCGCTACCGCAAGGCATTCATCTTTGCTGCCATCACTTTACAATGCTGCATTATAACTATACCCAGTGCAACTCCGTACATAACCCTGTATAATAATGCTGTTAAATATAAGACTTCAGCTGTTATATACAGGACTGTCTCAGAAAATTAGAATATTGTGATAAAGTTCTTTATTTTCTCTAATGCAATTAAAAATTATGAAATGTC